TCATGAAAGTTTCTTGGCAAAATTTGTTCAGAGGGGGTTTGCCTTTGCCTTCTGAAGTTGGGAGAGTCTAACTTACTCAAAGTCACCCAGTAAATTTCCATATCTGAATGAAGATTCAGACCCTTGTCTCCAGAATCCTAGTCCAACACTCAAACTACTATGCCATGCTGGCTTGATTCTTAATTATCTATTCCAGAAAAAGCCATCTCATAAATCTGATCACTCACAACCACATATCTTTGCTAGAAAAATAAAACCCTTGTTACAGCTAGTGTGAAGCTTATACCATAAAGCAGAAAAAACTGCAAGCCACATTCCAGTCTTCCTAAGAAAAGAAAAAACTCAGTTCTTTGACCACATGAACCTTGCTCCACCACACCATTGGATATTTCTCAGCAATATATCACTTTCATGGTTTTCTTGGGAAAGAGCATCATAGGTGTAGCTAGTTTCATCCAAAGCCCTGATTTCACAAGGTTCTGCACCTATAGTCACTATAAGGCAAGACGAGGAGTCAACAACCAAGCTTCTCTGGCATAGTTCTACTAAAGGCACATGGTGGACCCACTTTTGATCCAAAGCTGGTATGATGTGCATACAAATGTATACTCAGAACCCTTCCTGCCTATAAGAAACTCAAATTGGTTCTTAGATTTTCTATACTGGGACAATGTCACAACAACCTGTGGTGCACATATTCAAATGCTTTCTGATGTCCTTAGAAATACTTGCTAACCTTCTCCAGTCCTTAGAAATTAGCTTCTCATTTGGAAAAAAAATGCTCCCAGTAGGAAAATGCTCGATTTCTCAAGATGCATGGGTACTCGGAATGTAAGCATCACAGCTCAAAGATTGTCAAATGAGCTCACTGGTGTTGTCTAGGTCTTTGTGTTCTATGTTGTTTGGTTGCAGTGGGGCATACGACATGGCGTGCAATTTGAAATTTCTACTGCTGAAAAAAGACATTTCAAACATTATTTCTAGTAATTGCATTTCTTTTTGCTCAGATGAATTTGGGATACAGATGAGACTTAGGACAGAGTTGTCAGAAACATTATTCTATTGGGATGTCCAGAATACAGTATAACCTCAATTTCTGAGGGACAATACTTGTGGGTTCATCTACCTGCTTCTGAACAAAACATGGCCTCTAGGCATTTTCTAGGTCCTTCAACATGATTCTATAATATTCTTGGACTGGAAGTCCTTCATTTTAATAGGGTAACCTATTATCCAGGCAAAGTCTAGGAAGTGAAACTTAGAGATCAATGAAATTTATTGGGTTTTAAATAAAGCATCATCACAGCAAAATGAGAAAAAAATAAAGGTACATTGTAGAGGTGGGGAGGGCCAAAAAAGTGAGATGTGAAATATCACCATAAGTTAGTTTAAAGCTTTAGCTGCTTTTAACTAACTATACCTCAGGGGAGGTATTTAAAAATGTGAACCCAGCAAATGGTGATGTCAAGCAGAGGAAGATATTTCCATCTGGTGAATCCCAGAGACTGGCTTTAGTCCAGGGCCTCAATTTCCTCACCCTTTATTGCGTATCAGTCAGAATAGAAATGCCCTCCTTCATAGCCCCAGGAGTGAAAGTTCAAGAGGCACTAACAAAAATATACAACCTAGAGAGAAAGGAGCTGTGCAACATATCATGCATCTGGTTTGCAGGAGCCTGGGTGGTCCATCTTCATCAGATCACCAGGTCCTGGGGCAAAGAGAAAATGCCAGCAAATGGGTTTAAACAGTGGTCTGACCCCAGTGCTTGGCAGACTTGACTGAAGTGGCCACATGTGGTTTGTGGGAGGAGATTAAAGGACCTGTCCTCACACATGCTAAGCAGATCTATCAGGAGGAGCACTTCACGCCCATGCTGTAGTCATTGAGAAGCTGTTTATATATTTCCTATAGGGTTGTGTTTTGGGGTATGTTGGGTTACTTGTCTTTTGTCACCACTTTTTGGGAGGCAGGGCAGCTGGCATGGGTCTTGGATCAGAGACATCTATTGCTGATAATGGAAGGGGGCCTCTTGGGGGTACTTTGGAAGTGTGGTGAATTATAGGTGTGGTCTAACTCAAGGGCTGGCACCTTCCTTGCATCCTCTGATGGCAGGGGAACATGTAGGCAGAGCGCCCCTTATCCCTCTGGGTTGTATCTTTCTGCTATCCCATCTGGCAACGGATTGGAGTATCGAGCTCATTGATCAACAGGTGGGTTGGTTACCAGTTAGATCCAGACCAATGCAGGGCTAACCCACATTCACAGCTATAAAAGTTCTGGCTTCTCTCTTCTAATTTTATATTAAGCATAGAGTATTATTTCAGCAAAGTAGTACTCACTCCAGTACAGGCAAGAGCAATTTTGGTATTACGTCCTCTACAGCAATCTATGTTGAGATGGGATGCTGGCCACAGCAATGCCTTGGAAACCCTTTGATTGTGTTACTTCATGGCTTAAGAAGAAAGATTGGGTGGGTGGCATTGTCCAAGATAGCTACACAAACATAACTCCATCAACATAGCTGGCTGCTCAGGATCTCAGCCATCAAAGTAATAGGAATAGGACATTCTGTTTTCTAAGAACACATATCGCCTTCGGGTTTGAGAAAGGTGGGATAGAAATATCATAAATAAATAAATGTGAGGAACATGGAGGCCTCCAGATAACGATTGAAAGCTCCTATCATCCCTGGCCATGAGGACTTGGGATGACAGAATTTGGAGAACTACATCTGGAGAATATATATTCCCCAACTCCAAGGCCTGGTACTGAGACTAAAGCAGAAAGAAGCTCTAGCTTTTTGCAGCCAAGAAGACATCTTCGAGAAAAGAATGAATGGCAGAAATCCCAAAGCCTATCCCTCATGCTTTAGGAAATGTTTCTTCTGCTAAATTCCTTTTGGTTTTTGCTTTATATGAACCTCAGCCAAGGACCACCACTCCTCCTCTTCATGACTCCACGGCCACCACTGAGCACTCCATATGGCTCCAGTTCAAGACAGATAATTTTCTATTCTTATCTATTATACACTGTTTGTACAGAACAATGCTGTGCACACTTGGCTGTTAACATTATTATACATAAAATATATTATAATAGTTTATGGAGAGGGGTAGCAATTATTTGTACTAGGAAATGAATCCAGGAAACAGTGTTTTTCTACCTTGCAACAACATTGCATTTTAAATCTTTTAGAAATGACAGGACCTTAGCTTCATTCTATTGATATGCTGTTCCAGATTTTTGACCAAACCTATATTTGATTTGATTTACAGTTTGGTCTCCCCTATGGAAAGCATGGCTGTGGCTCTCCAGATATTTATCCCTAATCATTAGTCATGATGGTCTTACAGTCCTATAACATCTGGAGGATGTATTTAGCAGAATACAAGGGTTTTTTTTTCCATGTCGGGAGCGACTTGAGAAACTGCAAGTGAGAGAATTGAAAGTCTGCAAGGACGTTGCCCAAGGGACACCTAGATGTGTTACCATCCGCATGGGAAGCTGGAGCTGACACATGAGAGCTCACTCTGCTCCCTGGAGTTGAACCGCCAACCCAGTTTAACCCATTGCACCACTGGGGGCTCCAGAATACAAGTAAGAACAATAGAGGGAATGCCAATAATTATTATGAGTAATTCTACTTCCACATATGTCTCTTCTACAGACAAGAGTTGAGTTTCACTTGGTGGAATGTAAAAGGAAGTAAAGATCTTTGCAATGAATCTGACCTCTGTTGACTCATTGCGTGCATATGTGTAGTACTTCATGTATAGCAAGAAAGTGCCATCAGTGTATAAAATATTAACAATAAATGGGGATTTCAAGGTGAACATGCTAGAAGATCCAGATTTTATGGAATGAGAATGAATGAATTTAACACGTAGGTTGATTTGCTTGTAGTTTGGCTACAACCAAAGAGGTTCTGACTTTAGCCTGAATGTTGCTTTGGTGCATATTATTAAGAAGCATTGTGGAATATAACACTGAGATTTTCACCACCAGTGAAGGCTCACATGTGTAATAATCACATTTTACATATATTATACTCTTTTGCCTATATTGAATAACAGTGTTTTCAGTTAGTGGTGAGCTACAGGAATAGCCGAATCATGCAGTATAGCTCTTGCTGGACTGGATCACAGCGTACCGCAAGAAAAAGATCACACAACAACACCCTCTCAATAGAAGCACGTAGCAAGCAACGACTGAAGTTTTTCTGCAAGTATAAAAATTATAATGGGAAATGGACCTCCTATATGCATGGAGATATTTTATTGTCTAGGAAAATAGCTTTCCCTTTCATCAAGAATGTTCCATGCAGTCATGCCGGCCATATGACCTTGGAGGTGTCTATGGACAATGCCGGCTCTTCGGCTTAGAAATGGAGATGAGTACCAACCTCCAGAGTCGGTCACGACTGGACTTAATGTCAGGGGAAAACATTTACATTTACCTTCATCAAGAATATGAAGTGCTAAGGACTAGCAAGATTGGTGTATGTGAGTTTGCTGTTCATGAATCTGTTTTGATGGGAGTCAAATTGCCACTGTGCCCGGGTCCTGTCTGCTAAATTATTTTATTCACAGAATCTCAAAAACTGATAAAATGAATAAATATATGAAAGGAAGCATAAAAAAAACTTAACCAGTGCACAAACTTAAGCTGGTTGACACTGAAATCAAGTAAATTGGTGAAGAACCATCATTCGCCAGTAAACAAATCAAAGCTTTTTTGGAAAGCGTGAACACTAAACAAGAACACATGAAACAAAATCCAAAGGAAAGGCCAGGTAAGCCAAAGAGTGAAAATATTTTGTTTAGTGAAGAGATATATTTGCTTTCTAGACATGCTAGAAGAAATACTGGCTTGCCTCAATCTATTGTCAAGGGGAAATGCTTTGCCTGCAGTCTGAAAAGATCTACCTATTGAAGTTTCTCCCTGTGATTACCTTCTTTTAGAAAAGTTTGACAAACCAAGACTAAGATTCAGTTGGCCTACTGTATCCATGGATTTTGTATCCACAGTTTTTTAAAAATCCCCAAAGCAAACCTTGATGTTGTCATTTTATATAAGGGACACCATTTTACAACAGCATTGTATATAATGCAATCACAGATTTAAGTATCCATGAAAGGTCCTGGAACCAAATTCCAGTGGATATAATAAAGGGATCCCAAATAGTTGGTGGTCTCCAATATGATCATGAACATTCTCTATTGCAAAGCCCAGAGAATATGAGCATTGTGCCAATGGAAATTCGTTGTATTTATCAAGCACACACTTTGCTGGGTTCATTTTCCATTGGGACTATACAATCACTGCAACAGAAGGCTCATGGGTGATATGGTTCTTAGGCCCAGGAATATTTTGCGGGCCTAACTAGTTTATATCATAGGTTAGCTCCTGACAACATTCAGTGAAACTGAGCTATTATTGGTGATGGCATTGTGTGGAATGGGATGAGAAATCGAAACTTTTTTGTGTTTAATTTGGCATTCTGTTGATTCAGGACAAGCACTTGAGAGAACCTTCCTGAAGAGCAGAAAATAAGTGACAGAGTGAGTGATGCTGGAAAAACACCAGAACATTTATAGAAAGGCTGCATCTGAAATGAATGCAAAAAAAAAAAGCCATTGAATTGAGCCCAAAGGTTAGCTTAGTGACACAGAGTGAAACGGTTGTGTTTCCATCTTATCTACTCAGGTGAGTAGTCTAACTCATCATTTGAAATGAGCGCATCCGAGTTCTGTTTGTGTTTGCTTTTGCTTTTTGCTTTGCTACTTGTCCGACTGCTCTCCTTTGTTTCCGACATCTGCTGGTAAGAGAAACCTTTGTCATCGGCAGGATCCCAGTCCTGGTAGTTTTCACTCTCAGCATATGCAAAGCCATCTTCAACAGAGAAGGGATCAACATCAACATCGTAGCGTTGGTATGTACTCTGATGCAAAGCTTCTTCCCGGGCAGTGATCTCCAGTGTACTATTCCAAATGCCATAGCCAAAATAAATTAGCAACCCTGGAGAAGAGAAAGGAGAGACTTTGGTTGGTAAATGCCTTGCTACAGTGTGAGTTTGTCTCCAGCAAAAGGTAGTTCAAACCTTCACAGATCTATCAATACTGCTGTAGAGTGCAATATTTTTGCTGCTTCCACAGGTAGTTCTTTTTCTAAAACATATTTTATTGATTAGACTTTTCAGATGCAAAGAAATTCAGCATTGCAGAGAAGGGAAAAAGTAGGACAAGTTTTATATCTCTAGGATTTTCACTGGAGCATTATCAAGTAAAAAATACATTTTCTACTATGTAAAAAGATTATAAACACAAAGAAGAAGTCTTGGATGTAAGTTTCTATGTACATTTTTACTATGACTTTCTCTGTTTGATTCCCTGCCTCCCAAGATTAGAAAGAGAAAGATAAGAAGCATAGCAGTAAAGAAAGATCACAAACAAATACTATGATATTAATTTTTGAAACAAGTAGCAGTTTTTTCTTTTTGTTGCATTCTTCTGTGGTGTCACATAGGTTTCCTATCCATAGGACCACCCTACATTCTCAGATGTTCTCAGGACATTCATCTGGTGCCACTGATATTACATTATGGCAGTGGTGCACAACCTGTGGCTCTCCAGGTATTTGGGACTCCAACTCACTGAAGTCCTAACCAGCTTGTCCAATGATCAGGAATTCTGGAAGTTGAAGTCCAAAACACCTGAAGGGCCACAGATTATTCACCCCTGAATTATAGACAAATTAAGTGATTTTATATCATAATTTACAAATCAAAACTACTCTAGCTAATAGTTTCAGAGAATTGTCACAGATATACTGTGAGAGACAGATGATGGCAGATGAGAATTCATGGCAGTTGATCTGCATATTATTTTCAGGAGCTACTTTGGGTCTACACAGGAACAATCAAAGGTGATACAACAATTTGGAAAGTAAGGTTTAACACCTGGGTACTCCAATAAAATTGAGATAAGTTCCAGTAAAATATAGCATGCATCCAATTCTTTGAAGTAATAGAGTTAAAGCTGCCTCTGCATATCATTGTCAAATTTCCACATTCAAGACTTACCCACAAAACACCAGACAGCAAAACGGATCCATGTGATCTTTGAGAGTTTCAGCATAAGATAGATGTTCACAAGCATAGCAAAAGCAGGGACAAAAGGCAGGCAGGGAGCCATATAAGGGAGCTTTTTGGGGTTCTCTGGCTGTTGAAGAATGACAAACACTAATACAACAATCAGCAGGACCATCAGAACCACCAGAAGAATTGCCCACCAACTTTGGTCATACAGATAATCCAACCCAAAAATGATGAAAGAGCAGAAGATGAACATGAGGACAAAGAGCAAGAGCACACAGGTGGTGACAGTCTGGCCAGTAGCTGCTGTGGGACGATCCATTTTCCCAGGTAGCCCAAGGTGAATCCTCATAGTGTAGTAGCGTGGTCCTATTAGTTTCTTCAGCTTGATAAGGTAGATGTTTTCAGACTCATCTGCTTCTATTCCTGAAGTCATGTCAACTGTACCATAGTTGGGGTGGTTGACATTGTAGGTGGTCTTATCTGACTTTCCAATGAGCATTTCATTGTCTCCTAAAGATGGAAGATTCTTTGCACCACATGTGTTGGTGGGTGGACCTGCAAATTCCTCTCCTTCACTTCCTGGAGAACAAATTTCTTTCTCACAGTCTGCTAAAATCCCTTCCTTCTTCTTTGTATGCTCCTCAGAAAGAAATTTGACAAAGCCATCAATGTCACTCTCTGGTTGGTAGCGGAGAAGCAGGACACAGACGGAGACCAAAGTGTACGCAAGCAGCGTGCCAATAGACATCATCTCTATCAGATCCCTCAGGCTTACCAGCAAAGAGAGTAGTGCTGCAAGAAATCCTGAGACAATGCAAGCTACTACAGGGGTCTCAGTATAAGAACTTACATGGGACAAGAACCTGCAGGAAAAAGAATGAAAAATAAAAGTAACTCCACATCTATCTGCTGTACTATCATTCCAAGCATCTATTGGACTGCCACACTATGGGACAATTAATATGCCGTAAGCTTTAGATTGAATTTTAAAGGAGTTATCTAAGGCCCTCAAACTGTTTTGGAAATAGTGTTCGGTACACTGGACAGCTCTGTTTCCTGGAGCATGAATGGCAGCAGCTCCTGGGACATCATTCTGTGTATCTGCTCAGTCTGTTATCCAGATTCTAAGTGTTGATAGGCAATCTCAATGCCCTAACTCTGCCTTCTATGGTTGTTTACACCAGAGATTGATTGGGTAGCCCTTCAAACAGAAATTGTCCATTGGAAGCCTTTCATATAGACATTGTCCTTCATAAAATACAAGGGAAAAGGCCTCTTGATCTCACAGTGATTGCAAATATCACAATAACAAATATCAGATAAGATGTTCCACTGTCTCTTCTCATTCAAGCTCTGGTTAGATGGAACTTACCTGAAGAGAAGCCCATCACCAGCCATTGCATAAATTATGCGAGGCATGGGGAAGAGGGAGCCCAACAAGCTCACGGTCAAGCCAGCCACAGAACCAATGGCAACAATGAATTTAGCAGTGTAGAATCCATGGGCTGCAAACATTTCCATCAGGGGGGATTCAGTATCAATCTCATTGTATGGCACCATCAGAGTTAAGATAATGCTCACCTATTGCAAGGGGAAGAGAAAGGTGACATCATGTTTAGATGAAGCAGAGTACTAGTTGTGCACATTTGTGGGTTTTACTCTTGGTGATTATGTGCAGATTTGATTAACATGGTCTCTTTAGGACTCTCTAAGATTTCCAGCACAATTCTATGATCAACTTCCATCAGAAGTTGACAATCATTTTTTTTCATCTCAGAGAATGTGGACAAGCTATTGCACTGGCCTTTGAGGTGTTTAAAGCTCTAAATGGAAAAGGCATTTCAAGAAATGTCACTGATACTCAAGGTAGACAAAATTAGGTGGGATGAACCATTATTCTAATTTGATAAAGGCAGCTTCTCATCTATTCATTATCTGTTTGCAAAATCAAAGCCTACACCTTTGGCTATTCACATTTTGACTTAATTAGTTCGATAAGTCATCTGCATGATTGGCTCAGCAGGCAAGATGAAGAATGTTTATGAATATTCCAGGGGATTACTTTTTCTTTTTTAAATGCAGCGCTATCACAACAGTAGCTAGCTGTTAGAGGACATGCATAGTATGTGTGGGAGCAGTATGTGAATGGGGTGTGCGAGTAGTAATTGTGTTGTATGTCAGCAATGAAGTGGGTGTGAAAGAAAGATAGAGAGAAGGGAGAGAGAATATGAAAGAAGAATGGACACAGAAAACAGAAACAATTATAAACAGCAAGCTTGCCCCAGCTTTGGTTAGATTTTTTTTCTGCCTGAGAGGAACAATTAATGCTGCCCCTTGCTTGCTCCCCATCCCTCCTCAAGGAATAGGATATTAAATGCTGGCCTAGTTATTTTGATCCTGATATCTTTACTCCCTGCCTGGCAGGCAAACTATTACAATAATTAAACAAATACCTGTCCATTTCTTATGTTTTCCTAACACTGCAAACTCAGCTGTTTATAACAGGGTTCAAAAACAACTAACTCAACACATGCAATCAATCTCAACTGCAGAGAACAGAGGTGCCAATAATTTTATCAATAATCGTCAACTTTCCCAATTTTGCAAATCCTCTCTCAGCCCACCTTTCTAGCTGTTTCTCTCCCGCTTTCTCCCATTGTCCTTAGTTTATATTTGGAACAAACTGATGCAAAAATGCAAAAACAGTTTGTGCTCCATTAACTAAGGAGTGGGGAGGGTAAAAACTTGCCCTTCTCTGTAGCCTAAGGAAAAAACAAACTACATACTGCTGCCTCTCCTGATTTGTGTGTTCTTCTTCATTAATAATTTTGCTATTTTGACCTTACTTAGATGTTGCTTGGCCACATGTCTCCTAGTTTTCATACTTGAAATATTGGAGGTATGTAACTGCAATTAAAGAAATGCTGGACCAACAGGTATGCTAGCATTGCAGAGTTGGATTGCTGGGCATGATGTTCCCCCTGTCCCATCAAATCAATACCCATGATATTTAAAAAAATGATCTGGACTTTGCTTCTAGCTGCACATGCTGGAAGAGTTTATTCTTGCTCTTTTTAAAGAACTGTCCACAACCATATTTTCAAGATGCTACTCTTGATGCTTTGGTGCTTTGCATTATCTTGTAATTTTAACTACAGTATATTCTGGTGTATAAGATTACTTTTTAACCCAAGAAAATCTTCTGAAAAGTCAGGGGTCTTCTTATACGCGGGGTCATCTTATACACGGGAGTAGTCTTATATACTGGAGTAGTCTTATACACAGGAGTAGTCTATACGCTGGAGTAGTCTTATACATGGGAGTAGTCTTATGCATGGGAGTAGTCTTATACACGGGAGTAGTCTTATAGAGTGGGTGCTGAAACTTCCAATCGGATTGGAGAATCTATGGTTGCCGCATATGGTGGGGGGAGCTGAAAAATGGCAATGGCCGTGTCCCTGCCATATGCAGTGACTGTATGAAAGCATTAAGGGTGACACTGCACAAGTACAGTAGAAGAAAATCCATTCATCAGGATTTGCGGACTTAATGCGGTCCCAATGGTGAGGTGAAGGGGCACCTCACTAGGAAGGTGTAAGTGAAGGGCGGAGCAAGCTGCAGGCATCCGGGGCACCCTGGATATGGAAAAAAGAGATAGAATGGCTCTGGGCCCAGACAAACACACCTCTTTTACCTGTCTGACCTCCTCCTCTGCCTCCCAGATCTCGCTCCCAAAGACTGTAGTGAAGCGGTGCAGCTGCACATGTGGGAGATCTGAGAGGCAGAGAAGGAAGTACAGTAATAGGAAAATTACCATATTGAAATCTGATGCTTTTTTAAAAAAATTGGTGTGCGTTGGAAGAGGGGTAGTCTTATATGGCGAATATATCCCAAACTCTATATTTTTACTGGAAAAGTTGGGGTCGTCTTATATGCCCAGTCGTCTTATATGGTAGTACTCTACAGTGTATACCATCATTAGTATCTTCATATTGCAAGAGATGGAAGGCAAAGGTGTTGAGAAATAAAGTAGCTTTGAGGAGGGACTTCCTGGCTCATCCCTTACACTTCTATCTATTGTTATTATCTCTAAGGGGAGAATTATTCTGAGCACAATTTTGAAATGTGTTACTTACAGACACATAAGCCGTGAGGCACGTGACCAGCGAGGCAGTGATGGCATAAGGGATGGAAGTGTTGGGACTTTTTGCTTCTTCTCCGGTGGTCGCAATGATGTCAAATCCAATGAAGGCATAGAAACAGGTTGCTGCGCCTTGTAGTACCTGCAAGTAAGGCAACGTTGTGTTAGATTATATGGCAATGCCCATCCTAGATAGAGAGCTGGTCAACTTTCTAAGGAATGCAGGCAGAGAGGAAATGGGGCATTCCCCATGAGATCTGGGAAGGTCACATTTATTGCACCATCTTTTATACTTGTTTTAGCTGCAAACACCCCCAAAACATTATCTAATAGCCCTGGAAAAGGTAATTTCCATTTGATCCTCAGTTTAATGTGTTTGGAAATTATAATATTTTCCAACATGTCTCCTGTAACTTGGATAAGAAGTTTGGAGCCATCTACAAATGTTCAGTAAAATGCTTTTCTCTCCTCTTTGCAGATATTTGCTATCCATAGGAATGTGAAGCCAAAATGCATGGGACTGTCTTCTTTTAATCTTAAAGCAAAATCCAGCAAATTCTACATTGAATTCTACAATTGGGATGGAAAAATCATTTAAAGACAGAGTATGAAAATCTTCTCTACAGCTTTCAAAAACCTCTAGTGTCCATATTAGCTGGAGAATTCTATGAGTAATAGAAAAACACATAAACAAATCAATCCGTTTGCAAGCTATGGTTAAAAACAGAAACATGTAAAGTCTGCTTTATTATAATAGAATCTGGGTAACTGGATTAGCAGTCTCTTCTCTAACCTTTCCAAGCTTTATGTTGAAATTTTCAACTTTTCTGTGATGGCATTTTTACCGTGTCTCCTCCCTGAACCTTTTCAAATGGCCAGTAGATTTTGAAAAGATAAAGTATTTGGGAAATGGTAATCCAAAAGCACAATTTTCTCGGGTTCTATCCTTCCCACCCTCTGCTTAGAGAGGCAAATCAATCAGCTCCACTTTCTTCCAGTTCTGAATGTTTTACTTCTCAAATCCCTTTCACCCCACTTTTGATGAAATGCTCCAAATCTTGTTAAGTTTGTATCAGCTTTTTCTTGCTTCCACAATGCAAGTGAAGTTCTCATCGCAATAGGGAGCTGAAGCAGTGAATGAAAAGATTGACAGTTGCTTGCAACAAAGCAAGTCAAAATCCATACTCCTTTGAAAGAAATTGAGTTTCTTGGTGCCATTTGATCCAGCCTTTTCTCCAGCAAAGTCAATTTAGAAATGAAAAACCAGCTTGTTGGAATGAGCATCAAGCATTGCTTTTATTCCACTTCTATTTTACTCTATATCAAGAGTCAAGTAATACAAACCCAATAAATTAATTTGGAATCCAGAATCCCTTTCACATTTCCATGGGCATATTGGCCATGACTGAAGATCACTTCCATTTCGGCTTTATGGGGAGAGAGCAAGTCATAGAGAAAAGCCTGTTCTGATACTCCAAAACCAATAGAAAACTGGGTTGTTGTAGGTTTTTTGGGCTGTATGGCCATGGTCTAGAGGCATTCTCTCCTGACGTTTCGCCTGCATCTATGGCAAGCATCCTCAGAGGTAGTGAGGTCTGTTGGAACTAGGAAAAAGGGTTTATATATCTGTGGAATGACCAGGGTGAGACAAAGGACTCTTGTCTGCTGGAGCTAGGTGTGAATGTTTTAACTGACCACCAATAGAAAACTTCCTCTACGTATATGGGGATCAAGGATTATCCAAAGAGCCAATATTTGTTTTAGTGTTCTGTAGAGGTCACAGAAAAGATAATGGCTTGAATTCAGCCATCTTTGTCTCTCTGCTGAATTTGCCCCAGTTTTCAAACTGAGTAAAGTCCAAGAAAAGTGCCCTTCCATTGGAATAAAAAAATAAATTTGAAAGAAGAGTTAAGATTGGGAACCTCCTCAATTTAAGGGCAAGTTTCTTTATTTCTCAAACTGGGGCCCCATCTACACGGTCATATAATGCAGAAAGTTTAACTGTGTTGAACTGGATTATAAGGGTCTACACCAGTGGTTCCCAGTCTTTTCTTGAGCAGGGACCACTTGACCAGAGACCACCTTGACCAGGGACCACTCTAAAACATTAGTACCAAAAGGGTTATGAATTGGTTTTTGGTCAACTTTAGATTCAGGTTGGTTATTTGGGGCGCTGATTCAGAAAATTGCATTGGGTAGACCACATCAGCTCTAGTTTCTGATACAGAACATATGCCATCCAGTAGTCGCCATCTGCTCACCCACAGAAAACCATATTTAATAATGTAGAGCTGTTGTGGTCTATCCAATGCAATTTTCTGAATCAGCACCCCAGATAACCCTAGGACACCAAATGAAGACACCAAGGTGCCACATGGAATGGTCCTGCTCAGGGGGAGGGAGGGGAGAAGCAGTCAGGAAGTTTGTTGTCATGCTTTTTGTGGGTAGTCAGCCTCTGTCCTCCTGACATCTCCTTGGCACTATAAGAGGGTTTTGTGAGACCAGTTGCTCTCATTGCAATGGTGTAGTAATGGTGAGGCCGCAGACCATATTTTAGTTTTTGGGGACCACTGGTGGTCCACAGACCACAGCTGGGAACCATTGGTCTGCTATATAATGCAGACTGAACTAGATTACATAGCAGCGCACTCATATAATCAAGTTAAATGCAGTTCAGTCCACATTATATCAGTCTACACTGACTGTATAATGCAGACCAAGCTTTTTAGGTAACAAGGAACTCTTCCTTTCACCAGATCCAATTAATTAATTTGGAGCCCAGGGGCCCTTTCATACTTCACAGTTATAGCTCTGTAAATCAATTTAAGCTGCCATGGTTCCATCCACTGCAATTTGCAAAGAAGTATCCTATTGCCTCACCAAATAGAAGATGTAGCCATGGCAACTAAAGTGGAATCTTAGTGTGATAATTGCCAATGTGGACATTTACAGTCTCTGCTCATCCTCTCCCTCTGCATGGTAGATCATCCAAATCTGTTCAGATTCCCAGTGGAGCTTTTCAGCTAATATATGCACAAGAAACACCACCAACTTGGCAGCACGAGGAAAGAAAGCAAACACTTTCAGGGCCTTCAGCTTTCTTTTTACTGTCTTGTAGCCAAATCAAATATCAGCCCAGTCTCTTCATTTTACAGGAGAGACAATATTGTTGCTTAGTTCTTTTGCTACAAAGGAAGCGTTTCTTTTCTTAAAATCTATTTTTAAAACATTACTAGGATTCAATTCCCCCCAAAGTAAGCAGAAACAAACTCCAGTGATTTCAGTGGTAAAAGCTGCATGCTTTCATGGCATCGTGGCGTAGTTTTGAGCATTCAAATTATATATGAATTTGTTTAAAAAAACATTCAGTTTACATTGTTTAATTTGTTATTAAAATGGACTAACTAATTATACCCTTGACTCTGAAAACTGCTGATATTTGACAAGTCTGAAATATTCATCAATCAATCATTTTCTCTAAAATCCGCAGTCTTGGATGGACTTTCAAGGAGTACAATGGTGTTTATTTCAAAACAGATTTATGTAGAATTATGCTGTAATAGAATTAAACTTTAGTTTATGCACGTGTTGAACAATATACAGTGTACTGTATATTGTTCTGTTGTGTTCCAACCAGAGGAAAAAATTCAGGGTCAGGGTCATTTAGAGGAGAAAGAATGCTGCCGTCTTAGATGGAAAAAAATTGCAAATGCTGAAAAGGAATGATAGCTATTTTGGTGGAAAGAACAAATACAGGCAGTCTCCGAGTTGCAAACATCCAACTTACAAATGACTCATAGTTAAGAACGGGGATGAGACAACAGGAAATGAGAGAAATCTACCCCTTAGAAGGGAAATTCACTCCTGGAAAAGTTATTAAGTTGTCTCAGCTTTATTTCCAATACTTGTTTCCATAACACCATTTCCCCCCCCAAAATCCTATGATCAAAGGGGCAGAAAGTGAGGTGCATTCTTCTGAACAGGGGCATAGACAGCAAAACAAACACCAGAGGGATGATAACCCTTCCCTATGCTATCCAAAGCTATATATATGTATATGTGTGTGTATATATATCTATATATATGCACATGTACACACACCTGTTCTGACTTACATACAATTCACTTATGAGCAAACTTACAGAACCTATCTTGTTCATAACTTGGGGACTGCCAATAGTGGCAAAGGCCACCTTCTAACAACCCTTTTTTTGATCTAAGGACATCATCATATGCAAATTCTCATCCATTTCCACACACAGTTCACAGATGATGTACCATGGAGTCCGTCATATGACACAGACAGACTTCCAACTATTACCTGTGATGTTTTGTCAGTGAACTGCATCAGATATACAGAGAAACGGGAGAAAAATGAAGCCTGGAATAAATAATTTCCTGAACTCCTGATGTACTTGGAAATGGGGGAAAGCGCTTAAAACATGTGAGATGGGATCTATTAGATTCGCCCATACTGAATGATATCATTGACATGGAAGAATGGGCATTCTTAAAAAGCCACCTTGGGTCTCCTCTAGAGTAACAAGATTGAGAGGTAAAGTAAAGGATCTCATAGAATTAATGTCTGAACGGTGCATCCTCTAGAGTAAGAGGATTGGAGGGGAAAGTAAAGTATTCCAGAAGTGGTGTCTGTTCTTAAGGGTCTCCTCTAAGCAGATGGTTGAGGTGGGAAGAGGCGATCCTTCATGATCGGGGCAAGCAAATTCTCTTTAAACATGGGATCCCATGCAAAGAAGATGAGTCTCTATACAAGAATATGATTTTCCCCACTTTCCCCAGCTCCATGTAATGAAGTCATTAGAAAATGGTGACAGGAAATAATGCCATGCCACTTCTGGTTGCTTTGTTGAGTGGGACTCAGAAGAAGAAGAAAAGGAAGAAGAGGAGGAGGAGGAGGAGGAGGAGGAGGAGGAGGAGGAGGAGGAGGAAGAAGGAGGAAGGAGGAAGGAGGAAGGAGGAAGGGTGGAGGAAGAGAGGAAGGGAGGAAGGGAGRAAGGAAGAAGGGAAGAAGGGAAGGAGGAAGGAGGAAGGAGGAAGGAGGGAAGGAGGGWAGGAGGGWAGGAGGAAGGAAGGAAGGAAGGAAGGAAGGAAGGAAGAGGAAGGAAGGAAGAGGAAGGAAGGAAGGAAGGAAGAAGGAAGGAAGAAGAAGGAAGAAAGGAAGAAGGATGGCATGGGCACATCAACTGAGAATGCACAATTCCACATCCACAATACTGAACTGAATGCAAATATTTCAAAATATTAAATAATGCCCAACTGCTTTCACGAAGGAACTTCCACATACATAATAAACAAAACCAACAGACCGTATGTCACTAGTACACATTCCTCTTCTATTTACTCCCACCTCTTCTCCCTGTGTTTATACATTTATATATACACACACACATACATATGAAGAAGGGATCTTTGTGCAGAAAAGTGAATGCTCTGGGGGTCTCCTCGCAAAGAACCAACGAGGGATGTTATGTTCCATTCCTTTAAACTCCTTCTTTTGGCTGCTATGCTTTTAAGCTGATAATATACACAGTGTATAGCTATAAGACAATGGAGGACAACTTCAGGTTTATTGTGAGATATATGCCTATTTTTACTAGAAGCAAGCAGTCGCTTAGCCAGAGTACAATATAGTGCCATGTGTAGGCAACTGTTCATAAAAGTTAATGGGAGGGAATGAAGAATAAAGGAGCCGATGCCTCTGAGAAAACACTTGGCCCAGGCTTTTGTGATCAGTAGGAGAGTCTGAATACATTTTTACAAATCGCAATCAAGAAATCTCTGATCAGTAGTCAAGTCAAAGCCACAAACACTTCCACAAAATGCGATCAACTTGTAAATATTGCTCAAGGACAAACATTATTTTGCCTAATTAGTCTCAATTGGGGAAGAGCATTGAATTATCTGAATCAGAGGCGGCTCAACCCATTACGCAAAGTAAGCATTTGCAGTACAGTTGATTTTGCCCAGGGGCGCTCTTGAGGCGCTCTTGGGGGAAAATAGACCTTGACATATGCGAGTTGTAGTTACTGGGATGTATAGTTCACCTACAATCAAAGAGCATTCTGAACTCCACCAATGATGGAATTGAACCAAATATGGCACACAGAACTCCCACGATGAACAGAAAATATATATCAATGATTGGTTGTGGGGGGGGGGGGCAAAATACTGTTTGCTTACCGTTGAAAATTACCTAGGGCCGCCTCTGATCTGAATGTACCAATGTGTTGACTCCGCCCCCCCCCCCACTTTTTGAAGTTGATAATAAGCAAATGGATTCAAAGCCATTGTCACAAACCACTTTCTCAAGCTTCTTAGTAGTTGCTATGAGACAAGCATTGGTTAACATCTTTCTTGATATACTGTGAACCAAGTAGAAATTTGCAAGGTGGTCCCATTCTACTTTGCTGTGAGACACTTACCCCTGACCATCCAAATGGCAAGAACTGCCCTTCAACCCAGTTTTCTCCATTGACATATGCAAGTCCAGCAATCATGATGAAGACCCAAACAACCAGATTAATCACATTGAGGACGTTGTTGAATCCAACAGAGTTCTTCACACCCAGGGCAACAATGATTGTTACAACAACTGCAATCACCAAAGCTAGGAGGTCTGGATATGATTCTTCACCTTTACCTGCAAAAAGGAAAGGGAAAGCAAACATTCAATGGAACTTTGAACATTTTAGAAGCACAGAAATTGGCTGCCAACTTCAGAAATTCTTAGGAGCTTCCATATGAAGGATTCACTGAGGAATCTCCATCTTTTGTTTATTCAAATTTCACGAGGGATTTTCATGATTCCAGGTTGCATTCAGTCTTTCATGTACTGAGAGTAAGGCCATTGTAATCAACGGGATCTATGTTGGTCCTGGTTAACATGTCACATTGATTTAAGATAAACTTACATGACTAAATGTAGCTCAAACCTTTGAAAATTGACTCTGAGAAAGGCTACAGCCTTATGAAACTCCCAGACAGAAAGGATACTGGGCCCTGTGGAGTGGCCAATTATGGAAACAGACATCATTGGATGACACCTACTGGCATTGAACCATTGAGCTTTTATGTTTCCGCTTTGCTTGTTCCATATTTTTCAAGTCACAGGAAATTTGATCCCCCACCTTAATACCCCACTTTTTTCTCTTTTAAAGAGGATTTTAATGTATTGTTGAATGCTTTCATGGCTGGAATTGCTGGGTTGTTGAAGGTTTTTCAGGCTGTATGGCCATTTTCTAGAAGCATTCTCTCCTGACATTTTGCCTGCATCTATGGTAGGTATCCTCAGAGTTTGTGAGGAGTTGTAGGTTTTTTGGGCTGTATGGCTACGTTCTAGAAGCATTCTCTTCTGACACCTTACAAGCTTTGAGGGTGCCTGCCATAGATGCGGGCAAAACTTCAGGAGAGAATGCTTCTTGAACATGGTCATACAGCCCGAAAAACCTACAACAACCCAGGATGTAATGCTTGCAGTGAAATAATAGGCAAATTTTTTAAAAGATTAGTTTTAGGTATCCCAGTGCCCAGAATCTCTCAGGGAGCATCTCCATGGCATATTGGCTAAAGCATTGAGGGAGATTAAGTCCAAAATAGGAATGGCTCCAAATTCTGATACTTGACCGGAAGGACTATTTTCATATAGATTAGCTTCAGCATAAATTCACAATTACTTTTCCAGGCAGTGTCATTTTAGATGCATGTAATTTTAAATTTGAAATTGGATCATGGTTAGGGCCGACTTTAGGTGAGCAATTCCTAAACGAAGTGCCCTCTGATGGACCCCTTGCCATCTAAGATGTAGTCCAACACATCTAGTGGAAATTAGGTGTGAGGAAACTGCTCTAGGATACTGTAGAAATCCAAAAGGTGAATGGACCAAGCCACCAGCATTTCTTGGAGCACCAAGGTGGGTTGTTTTTAGGCTGGGAGTCTATGGTGGCTTCTGCCTTGTACCTTTAAATTTGGTATCAGCTGTCCAAGATTGGCCATACTTTCCCTGAAGGGAGATACTTGGATGTTTCCTTCTTCAGGAGACATCTCTATTCACTGAAGAAAGCCATTAATGGACTATTGAACATATTGTCATCCATCACTGCTCACTCTTGGACACACAAATCCAATGAGGACCAGCTGAACAATCATTCACGCTGACTGGTGATATTAAAGCAAGACACTTAGTACTTGAAACTCTTAACTCTCTTGGGTTTCAACCACAATTTAATTGCCTTACAAAGCCAAACAGCATAGTGTAGGAAATGTAGAAAAGTTGTTATTTTTCAAGTGCCAGAATCTGGCTGGGAGTTGCAATCTTTATCCCCCCCCCCCCCCACCAAGTTCTAACATTTGTGATTCGGTATTGAGGCAATAACTTTACTGCATGTGTTCAAACTCCATCTCACCCAGCCCATTCAAGGTCCCGACGCTGTCAATCATCCAGTGGCTGATGGTGTGATTGGCCAAGGAGTCGAACATGCTGCTGAGAGCACTGGCACCTGCGGCTGTGCCAATGAGATATTCCAGGATGAGGTTCCACCCAATGAAAAATGCCACAAACTCCCCCACTGTGACGTAGCTGTAGGTGTAGGCAGAGCCAGTGGTTTTCGGGACCCGCACCCCAAACTCAGCATAGCAGACACCTGAACAGAGAAAAACAAGGAAAACTGTGAAACTCTGTAACAATGTCTGCACGGGAGGGAGGAGAAATTGCTTGTTATAAAAGAAAAAAAACCCAACCAAATACAAACCAAAACACTATGTTGCTAGAAGCTAAAAATAAAAATGGCTCGATCCAGAAATCTAGCAGAAGGTCAGCAATGCTTCACTGAAATTCTTTTTTTCACAATACAACCCCCCTTTAACTAACAGTACAGATTAAGAATCTTTTATCTGATATGCTTGAGGCCAAAAGTATTTTGGATTGCATATTTTTGGAAGATTTTGGAATGCTCACATCTGCATAAACAAACACGGTTGCATTTTAACTATGTTTTAATATGAGATTTTATAGATGTATTTAATTATGTTGTGCTCTGCCTTGAGCCAAAAGGAGAGTCAGTAATAAATACAAAATGACTATGATGATGATGATGACTGTGGAGCAGAACAAACAACTCTGCATCTGTATGCTTGTCCACAATGCCCTGCCTCATGCACAGAAGAAGAATTGTTTAAAGCCACAGACAATGTAGTCGCTGTTGCCCATTTTTGGTTGCTTGTTCTTCCACTTTTTTTAGACTTTTTAGACTTATTTTTGCAATGCTTTTGATTTGACATGAAATTATAATAATGATTATTACATAATGAGATATCCTGGAGATGGAACCCAAGTCAAAACATGAAAATTATTTATGTGTTATATACATCTTGCACACAAATTCATGTAAGTGTCATGTATATCTTGCACACATTATTTTGTGCGTGGAATGAATTTTGTGTATGCCGAACCATCAGAAAGCAAAGATGTCACTATTTCAGTTACCCATGTGGACGATTTTGGAGTATTCCAGGATTTTGGATCAGGGATAATGAACCTGCATTTGCTCATTGAGTTGGTACAGTATAGTGGTTTAAGTGTTGGACTAAGACTCTGGGATCATAGGGTGCAAATCCCTATTCAGAGATAGGTGACCTTGGGCAAGTCACATTTTCTCAGTTTCAGAAGAATTTCCTCTGAATACATATTGCCAAGAAAACCTCAGGTTTTCCATAAAATAACAACAATCGCATTTGTTCACATACGTCCCTCCCTCTTTCTTTCACTATCTCTGTTGTTTTTATATTCTGTTTTTACTGGATGCTCTGAAAGAACAGAGATTTATCCTGGCTGTTTTTCAACTGATGTTCCTCTGTGTGCTGACTAAGTTCAGACTGTGACTCCTTGACCAAGGTTTGATAGCACACATTAAATAAGAACACAATAGAAAACTGGTAACTTTGTTCACCAAAAACAGCAAAAGAGATCTGTATTACCCATTTCTCCTCCCTCTGCCAACCTCTTGACCATTTTCCAGAGAAAAACAAGACACAATGTGATAAGATAACAGCAGCCCTGACACTTTCCTGTTCACTACAGTCAATTGCCAGTCAATTCCCTCTGGAGTAGAGAGAATGGGTGAGCAGGTGGTAAGAAAAGCAACAAGAAGGTTAGTCTCCATTGGGAACTCTTTTTAGGATGTGTGCCTTGGCATATGCTCATCAGCGCCAACCCCTGATGCCAGCAATTGGCAATTATTTATCACACTGACATTCCAACATCTTTCCATGAAACAATTCAAATGTGACAATCATAAAGATCAGGTGTCCAGGTAGTGACTGTATCCAAAATGTCACAGCATTATGCAATTTTAGTCTATATCTTGGGATCAAAATATTTACTTGTGCTGAAAATGATTCCCTTCTCAAGAATGACAATTTTTTTGGTCGTGTCAGGAGTGACTTGAGAAACTGCAAGTCGCTTCTGGTGTGAGAGAATTGGACGTCTGTAAGGACGTTGCCCAGGGGACGTCCGGATGATTTGATGCTTTATCATCCTTGTGGGAGGCTTCTCTCATGTCCCCGCATGAGGAGCTGGAGCTGGTAGAGGGAGTTCATCCGCCTCTCCCCGGATTCGAACATGCGACCTGTCGGTCTTCAGTCCTGCTGGCACAGGGGTTTAACCCACTGTGCCATCAGGGGCTCCTAAGAATGACATAATACTTGAAGTCAGCATTAGCAGCATATTTGGGTAGATAATAGGGTTTGGTTAGAACTTTGAAAACCTACCATTTTTGACTCCAACTCCCAGAATCCCCTAGTCATGCTGGTTGGGAGTTGTAATCCAAAACTGTAATTTCCCCAGGTTCCGGGACTGACCCATGGCTGACACCTTCTCTGGTTACTAGCTATCGATATTTGGTGATAAGATCCTATTTAAATTTCTAAAGGTTCCCAGGGTTTAACTCAGCACTTACTTTGTGGAAAATAATACTTGTTCATAGAAGTATTATATCCATGACAGAAAATGCTGGTTTCTGTGCAGAAAATGTTAAGTTTGCAAAACAATTATGTGCAAAAACTAAGTTTCAAATTGTGACCTTTCTTGTAGTGAGAAAAACATTGCTGAAATGACTCATTGCTTTTTTCAAGTAGAAAATTAGTGAAGAAATACATCTCTGCTTGAAATCATCAAAAGTATTGTTTTTTCTGTTTGGGAGTTTTAACAACCCTTGGTTTTGAACTTTGAAGAATCTACATGGAATAGCAATACAATATTCACTTTCAAGGGATCACTGTAATTGGCCTTTCTGAACAGCCCCAAGCCAGGTCGATACTAGTAGATTTGTTGCTTATTCAAAGCTGTTTCTTCTCCTCTGTTTCTAACAGGCAGGTTGTTTTTGAAGTCAATGGCAGCAATACCAGCCTACACTGCCAATAATACAACGTAAAAGAAGAGTACGTGCTCACCAATGTTGTTTCCTTCTGGAGTTTTAAAAACAGGTATGACAGGCATGAGAGCATGCCAATTCAGTGATGTTCCAAGGACACAAATTGGACTATTTTTCTGGTTGACATTTGCTGATTGCATTTTGAGCACAGTAAATTCTGAAAGTGAATGCTAGGACACACTCATCCCGCCATGAGATAACTTCTACCATGGTGTAGAAAATGACTTAAATAATTCAAGGCTTTCATGAAACTACAGAAGATCCACTGATACATGAGCCTGGCTATAAGCTGCATCTCAACAGAAGAGGCAGCGAGAAGAATTTTGGCCGGAGAACTGCAGGCCCTTTCAGAAAGCATTTTGGTGGCTTCATGCCAGAGCTGGGGTGGCATTAAAGTAAGGGGTAGACCCACACAATTATGTCTGTTTCATATTTGCACACGCGCATGCACATTCTCTCTTAATATGAACCTTTGTTGTTTGTTTTTTCTGCTTTCAAGTTGACTCCAATTTCTAGCATATCATAGGGTTTTCTTGGAAAGATTTATTCAGAGGCGGCTCCTTTGAAGCTGAGAGAGTGGGACTTGCCCAGGATCACCCAGTGGGTTTCCATGCCTGAGAGGGGACACAAACCATGGTTTCCTGAGATACAGTTTCAACACTTATAGCAGCTGAACTTTCCGGCCGAAAGGTCGGCAGTTCAAATCTGGGAGCAAGGTAAGCTCCCGATGTTAGCTCTAGCTTCTGCCAACCTAGCAGTTCGAAAATATGCCAATGTGTGTAGATCAATCACTTTTGCAGGAAGATAATGGCACCCCATGCAGTCATGCTGGCCACATAACCTATGGACAACACGAGCTCTCCGACTTAGAAATGGAGATGAGCACCACCCTCCAGAGTCAAATACAATTAGACTTAATGTCAGGGGAAATCTTTACCTTTACTACAACACACTGACCCATCATGCATATACACACCACTTATTCTTCAGACACAACACACAACTATCTTCAGACACAACACCCTCAATTTACTCACATTTATTATTGCTATAATGTTGTTTTATGTTGTTTTTATACTGATGTTATGTATTTTGTATATGTTATGTTTTAACTTTGTTGATTGGGCTTGGCTCCATGTAAGCCACCCCGAATCCCTTTGGAGAGATGGAAGCAGGGTATAAAAATAAATTTATTATTATTATTTGAAACACAGCAAGATTAGTACACAGCAAACAAGGTCACAATGCTAGCTGTTGGATTGGATCATATGTCGGGCACTTCCCAAGTGCCTAGGACTGTGTGATGTGTCAGCGAATAATGCATGCATATTCCAGTAGGGTGGCCTTTTGCAGATTACAAATTGTGTTTAAGTGCAGGCCAAGGTCTTTAGGCACTGCACCCAGTGACCCGATCACCACTGGGACCACCTTTACTGGCCTCCTCCTCCTCCTCCTCCTTTCCAGGGGTGGCCTGTGAATCTACTCAAGCGCTTATTCCAGACTTTAAAGAAGCTATCCAAAGTTACTAACCTTATTACCAAATTGGTTCAACACCTTGGGTTGTCTGAAATAAAACCCTGAGTGGATGCATTGTCACACTGCTATGGAGATCCCTGGCTACCCTAACACTTATTTCCCTTTCTGTCTCACAGAGTCCCTTCCATGAAGTCTCCGTGATAGGGATATGAGAAGCGACAGTGGCAATACTCATATGAACAAACAAATAAGCAGAAGTGTCCTCCACTGTTGCTTACCATGTCCCTGAAAAAGCTGCAAACTGATGCTGCCAAATAAAGGCTGGCAAACAACTTCCAAAGGGTATGGTAAGCAATGGTGGTGGCACTCTCAGAAATGAGTGAAGGATCAAGCAGGAGTTCCCAACTTCACCACTAATTGTCATGTCTTGAGTTTTTCACAGTTTCTATTTTTGCATCCATTATTGGTTAAATCTCCAGATATGAAGTGGTCCACCGAATATCCTTAGGTATGCAGCCGTGTTTGATTTCCAATGCATGGTTCAATGTTCACTTGAGCATGCACCAGGACTTCCCTTTAGGAAACCACAGCAGAGTGAGCAAGTGCCAAAGGGATGCCCTCATTCCACTCCAGCAGTTGCTGATAGCTTCTATGTCAGTTGGGTGACTTCAGGTTTCAAGCTGAACTATAATATGTATCCCACATGTCTCTCAAACAAGTTCAGCACTTTGGATAAC